TAGCCCATTTTATCATACATTCTTTCACTTGTCTCATATTTCAACAAGAATGTATACATTTTAGCAATAATATGTTCATCATTGTACATAGTTCTATTTCTATTTGTATGTCCAAAACCATACACTACTTTATCCATTTTAAATCTTTCTGATAATTGTACAAAAGAAAACCATTGACAAGTATATCCTTCTGTTATCAAATCTTCCCTTGATTTTATTTTACAATCTGGAGAAAATTCTAGTACATCAGAATAAGTTAACCATTTGTTTACTTAACATTTCTTGTCTATAAAAAGCTGCTTGTGCTGAAAGCCACGAAGGTATTTTTGTGCAGAATCTACATTTATATTTATTCCATAAGAATAGCCCACCTGACATAATCATTTTAGAAATCTACATTAATCTTAGCTTTGTTGTACCATAAATATCCATGCCACCCAAATCTCAGATCATGTCCTTCTAGCTTCAATAGCCTTCTGTTAACAACACCCACTTTTTCATCCAAGCTAAACAGACAGCAAAATATAATTTCAAGTCTGGTAAACCCAATCTTCCACTTTCCTTTGCATCTTGTAATACCTTATATTTAAGTTGAAGTTTTTTCCCCCTACCGTACAAATTTAAATATATCATTCTGCCAGTAGATCAGTTGCTGAAACAGGTATTGTCTGAAACAAAAACAACATTCTAGGTAAAATATTTTAATCACAGAAATTCTCTCCAACAGTGACAACTGTATTTTGTTCCATCTTGACATATCTTTTTAAACTTCATGTCTTAACACAGTTATTCTGGAATAACATACAATTCATATTTGTCATAGTAATACCCAGGTAGAAATGTCCATACCTGTAGCACCTAATTCAGCATCATTTTTTAAAATCCGTTGTATCTGTTGTGAACTTCCCTCTGAAAGCTCCATTTCCGGTTCAGTCTAAATCTCTGCTGTTTAAAAGTGAAAATCATACCTTCCACTTTATCCCACCAAAATGGAATTTTTTTTTGTTTTAAATTTTCAGCCAAGAAGGCATATTCTTTTCTCTTACATAAAATTCTAATGGGAATCTCTTTTGAAACAATTACATCTGTGTTATCCATTTTCAGTCTTGTGTTAACATGCTGCAGGATTTGATCCCTTGTCTTTTTTCTAACAAAATGTACCAGCATATCCCTAGGGACATTCCTCATTCTGGCAAATCCAAAATTTATTCTATAAGTCCTATCAGTTTCTGTGCCCATATCTTCCTCTTCCAAATCCAAAAAATTGCCAAAATATTAACAAGCCGCTCTCTAATACTTTCATCTGGAACCTCTGGAACAGCTCTGAATCTCAAACAGAATTCTTTCTCAATTCCAGTAAAGCCACATTATCCAATTCTCTTTCCAACTCTCTGCCTTGAACATCTGTCTTTCTAAAATTTCCACTCTATCATTGTTTTACCTCTCCAGATATTTGCTTTATAGAACTTTCCATCTTTTTAACATCTCTCAGCTCCTTTCTTAACTTTACAAATCCTTCATGCAGTCTTTTTTCAAAAGCAGTGCTTTTATTCCTCATCTGATCAGATTTATTTTCCATCTGTTCAAAAAATTTCTGAAGTGTATCTTGTGTAATTATTTTTTCCGCAGATTGTTCTAGCGAGCTCTTCCTGCCCTTTCTTGCCATTATTGTAGTGGCCATTTTTAATCCAAAAGTGAAGATGTCTCAAGCAGGGGAAATAAAAAGATACGCCTCTCCCCCCCCCGCCCCTTTCGTTTTAGTAGCTCTCGATAGCTTCAGCCACAACAGACGTCACGTCTCCATGGCAACTAAACGTCACAGACTGCTTCTTTACCTTATCTTTTGTTATGTAGATTCCGCTAATTAAAGTCAAAGAATAAATTCCCACGCCAGACTGGTCTCTTTAACTGGGTTAGTGAAAATTTATACCAAAGCGCTTTCATCAAAAGTAAAAACGATAACAATCAAAATAAAAAAATAGGGGGGGAAAAGACAGTCCCCTTGTCCGTTTTAAAACTCTCTTACATCGTCTCTTAAATAAGCTTTTTGCAGAGTTCTTGAATCTTTAAATCCAAGTCTCGTTTTTCTTTTTCTTTTGTAATCTCGAAAGAAGGTTTAACTCACCGCGACGAGTCTTTATCTTTGCCGCGGAGGAAATCCCTCGTCTTCTGTAAATTCATTACTTCCCAAAGTGATTTAAGAAATGGAGGCAGAGCTTCATGTCCGTACGGGCTCCGCCGCAGTTAGGAGCGAAGATGGAACCGCAAGGACGCCCGGCAGCTCCACTCTAAACCCGACTGCAAAAACCTGTCCGTTTCTGCAGTTTACCCACGAGGAATTGCCGGGGAGATGCGCCGGCCAGAATCCCCCTCCCCTCTAAGATAAGCCCCCCACCGGAAGTCGCACGTGCTTGCTTCCAAAAGTTTATCCCTTGTTCGAGCTGAGCAATATGCAGCCGCGGAAAACAAGTATATAAAGTAGTTCCGAA